GACATAAAGCTATCGTTTCCTTGGCCATTGACCCACTTGAGCAAAGCGAGGGCAAATAGGCTGCATGTATCAGCATGATGCTCATCTAGTTTAAAATGTTCATTGTGTGAACATTTTCATGGAAATGTGTGGTTGTTTTTAGTAATACAGAATTGCTCTGGGGGTTGAAACCAAGAGGTGTGCGCATTTCACCATGGGTGCTAGGCAAGACGTACGCTCTACAGCCAACATTTGAATCACGCTACAACTACTCCAAAAACCCACAGAACGGATTCGAGAGTTTGATCTTGGAGCTAAAAATGAACAAATCTGCAGAAGGGCATTTTCTACTCCCAAATCTGTACTCTTCTCTTCTAGAATTTTTTATCCAAACTGCACAAAATTCATTGGAACAGAGTTTAGTTGGGAAGCATTCTGCAGAATCTGTCACCATTTTGTCGTTTTGGACAGCAACTAGAAAAACTAAATTGTTGCTGGTCCTTTCACTGCTGAAAACCCTCTTTGTTTATCTTATCGGTGCATTTATTTTTTTGGATCAGATTGAAAGCAGACATAGGAACAATGATGTTTTTATACCAGAATCCTGCTTAATGTATCATGCTGTCTTCCAGATGAAGAAGAAGAAGAAGAAGAAAACTTGTCTGCAAAATGTTTTCAAAGCAGCTTATCACTTCTTTTTCAATATGGGCTCGGGATTTTTATCGGCATACTCGTGGCAGGATGTGCGTGTATGAATGTGTGCATAAGCTCTTGTTGCCTTTTTCCATCTGCTGCTTCGATTGCCTAGAGAAAAGAGTATGTCGTTTAAACTGTAAAAAGATAGACTGCTGGCACTTAAATGTTGAAATTAGTGTGAGCTTGACATATATTCAGGTTGAAATGACATACTGCACTAAGAATGAGAAGACTTGGGAATTCTCAGGAGGCCAACAAACTTTCTACAAGATGTTAAGAACAGCAATGAGCAGATATAGAATTACTTTACAAACAACAATAATATGCTACACTGGACCTTTTTCACCCATGTGTGCATATGCGCGTGCACACACACACAGGCACCCCTATTTTTGCTTATTTAGTCTGTATTAGTGACCATCCGCAGCCTCCCAAAAAACACCATCCTAGCCACTATGGATGTGGAATCCCTGTATATAAATATCCCACACAAGGATGGACTGCAAGCTGCTGGGAGCATCATAGAAGACCTAGCCACCAAGGTCTGCCACTTTGTCCTCTCAGATAACTACTTTACTACCGGTACTCTCTAGGTTTGAATATATGCTTTTACAAACTTCTATATATATTAGTGGGATTAGCTGTTGCGTGCTTTCAAGTCATTTCTGACTTACGGTGGTCCTAAAGCGAACCTATCACGGGGTTTTCTTGGGTAGATTTGTTCAGAGGGAGTTTGCCTTTGCCTTCCTCGGAGGCTGAGAGAGTATGACTTGCCCAAGTGGGTTTTCCATGGCCAAGCAGGGATTCAGGAACCTGGTCTCCAGAGCCATAATCCAACACTGAGAGATATTCACATGAGAGATACTTGTGGGGATACTATTTTTAAAACATTTCTAGTTTCTTAGGATGTTGCTTGCAGGCATGGGGAGCATTCTCTGTAACACTAGTGAAAAGTAAATAATTTTGATATGGTATATGTGCATTAGTGTATGTGTATATTTGTATGTGTGTTCTAGCCTAGATGCCAGAAACTTAACCACATTGCCTAATTTAATTCTTGGACAAAGTTTCACATTCATGCAATGATGTTAAGATTATATATACAGTAGTTTTTCATTAGCTTGAATATTCTGTGTGGAACGGAACAAAACAAAGGGTTTCTCTAAATATTTAAGGCCATGACATAATACTTGGAAGTGCTACAAAACATGAGTAATTTCTGGGTTGTTGTGTTTTTTCTTTCTTTCCTGGAAAACACTTTTTAATCTCCACAAAGGCATTGCTAGCAACACTAACCAGTATTTATATACATTATGGTAGAGGTCACCCAGTGCTATTCCTTTTGATCTGAATGTCCATTTCCTGAATACATCTGTTCATTTTCCCTTCAAATACATTAAATCCTAGGCATCTAGGAAGACTGTACCAGGCATTTCTTTGAAAAGAGCAAAAGCGTATTGCCAACTACAGAAGAATACAGCCTCCTACACAGCCATGTTTGTTGGCTTAGCAATGCAGGATTTTCTCTGCAGGTGGTCACAGAATGGCATCCAGACTTTGTCTTGAGCTAGGTTTCTTTTTTTGTCTGACTCCTGTTTCCAAAGGTATGAATTTCTTTTATGTATTCAACAGAAACAAAAAAAACAAAACCCTGTTCATCTTGGATAACTTAGGCTACAGACTAGGCTAGATTTTTTTCCCTCACTTGAAGGCTGTGCCAAAAAGATGTATTAGCCTTGTAGAGGTAGGAAGCACTTTCAGACCTTATAGGGGAAAAATGTCTTCTCTTGCTCTTTCCAAGCCCTTTTTTTTATTGAAACAGGAGCATTAGTTAGACTCCAGAGGAGCTATTTCTTATCCTTGGCAGAATGTAAGATTCACCCTTCTATAGCATTAATCCATTACAGGAAATATACCTCTAGTTCTGTTTCTTCAAACTGAAAATCTTATATATACACTCTCTTGAGAATGTTTTCTCATTCCACCCTGTGGGCCCTTGTTTCCCATAGCCCACTTTTGCAGAAGAAAATAGTATTGATCTTCTTCATATATACTATAGCATAGACAGATAGATAGATAGCAGTCCATTTTTGGTCTGTACATTTGAAATTGCGCTCAAGGCACCAGATCCCATTTTGGCATCAGATCTTCGAAGCTCAACAGAGTCAGCCCTGGTTAGTCCTTGGAATGGGAGACCGCTATACAAATCCCCGATGCTGTATGCTATATTTCAGAAGAAGGAACTGACAAAAACCACCTCTTGAGTATTTCTCTCCTATGGGTGTGTGTGTGGGGGGGGGGATTAATAAGGTTGCCATAAGTCAACAGGCAAGTCGAAGGCACAGATGTAAAAAAGTTCTGGAGAATAGAGAAAAGCCAAGGTAATCACAGACTCATCCTTCTGGCTGGTTGTTACAAAAATCAAAATCAAGATACTAAGAGGGCCAAGTTTCTCAGCCATTTTGTAACTGGCAAGTCCTAGCAGGCGGCAGTTGAAGACTCATAATCTCCACGTGTTGTATGTAACACGGGCCTGTTTTCATCACATTTGTGAGATGGTGCTGAAGAAGAGGCCCGTGGTTTATCATTATTTTTAGGGTGTGCTCTTTGGCTGGGTTTCTCTTCTATACCAGGCACCCCACTCATGCTAAATGTAGCTCATTTGCCCTTTCCGGAAAGCTTCTGTTTCTCTATTTCCACCTTGACTGTCCCCTGAACAGCTGCAGAACAAATCATCAGCTAGTGCCTATGTAAGCAATACAGCTTCTTGAAATCGTGCTGACCTTGGAACGTTCATTTCTTTCCATTCCTTCAAACTTTAGATTCCCAGTTGGATTCTTCCTTTTCTCCCGCTTTCAAACGCAACCAAGCTCCCATACCTCTAATTGACGACTTCGAATTGGCAAGGCTTGGAGAACTGTCTCCTTCCTGACTGCTTTCCCAGTAATGTGAATCTGTTTCAAGCTTTCCCCCAAGTACCTTTGAGTTTATCCTAGATTCAGAAAAAGCACACTGTAGAAGCTGAAGCAAGCAGCATCTTTGGCCATTAGTCCGGTGTGGGAAAAGTAATTTTTCAGTCATCTTGGAACTAACAAGGATGCAGTGCAGAGGCCAGTACTCTCCCCCTGATGGACTAGAAAATGCCTTTTTCTGTGATAGATTTGCCTTAGAGTCACCATACATTGAAAACAATTTAGCATGGATAGTAACTTCTGCTATGGTTTTTCTCAAGTGATTTAGCCCTTACTACCCAACCAAGTCATCTTGGTATCCTCTCTGCGTTGCAGTTGGTCTCCCTCTGTTCCAGGCAGTCCCCAAAATATTTTCAGAATACTTTTGTAAAATTTAGCACTGGGAACTACAAATGAGAAGGAGAATGTGGCAAAACAAAAAAAAAGAAACTTCCACTGTTGCCAAGGAAGCAGATATGAATCGATTATTCTTGCAAATGAAAGCCCGCAGGATCCTCATTTCTAATTCACTGTTTTCTAACTCACTAATGTGGAAAGAGCAAACTTTGATTTTTTTTCCCCTTCCGAGTAGTTAATTTACACTCAGTTATATTTAGAGTTCTATTAGTCACAGTCGTCTCGGAAACCCCTTTTAGCACTTCCAGTCAGAAGCCATGTGAAATCGTTGCTCTTTAGTTGGCGTAATTGATCACAGATGCAGGGCAGTTAAAAATTAGCCACCGCATATGACAAAAAGAGTAACTCGAGCCCTTTACTCATCAGAGGACCAGCTTCTCAATCAGTGTGCATCTTCTATTTCTCTTCATGCTATCAAGTTGTAGAGTGCCATTTCAGAACAACCATGGCTACAAAGGGCTTTATTATTAAACTGATGGCTTGGGTCTTTATACTCCCTCCTTCCATACTGAAGCAGGAGAATCACACCAAGATCTGCTCCATAGTAGTTTTGTTTAGGTTTTGTACAAATTTGTACAAATATATCAGTGAACCACTGTTGCCTTTTCATGAAGAGCAGATGAGCTTTTGCCAGGCTCTCTTTCCGCGTGTATTAAATATATGAGCTGGTGGACATTCAGGAAATTCAAGATCTCAGTTTTTTTCCCTAGTAAAACCCATTGAAGGTGTTTCATGGCCGGCATCCATAGTTTTTTGTGGGTTTTTTCGGCCTGTGTGGCCATGTTCTAGAAGAGTTTCTTTCTGATGTTTCGCCAGCATCTGTGGCTGGCATCTTCAGAGAATGCTGGAATGAAAGAGAGTGGGTATATATTTACTGTGAAACCCTGGGTAGGGAGGAGTGATTCCCATGTAAACTGTGTATGGTTCTAACCCTAACCCTAACCCAGTGGGTTTCCATGGCTGAGCCGGGATTCGAACCCTAATCTCCAGAGTCATAGTCCAACATTCAAATCATAGCACCACTCTGGCAGGCTTGTAAGAAGCACAAACATTGGCTCAAGTACAATTTACTCCAGTATAGTGTCCTAAAAGGATTCCTGTCTTTATTAGAGCTGTTGAGGACACCGAGAAATGTTGGGATCAGTTGCACTGGGCGAAATGGTTTTTTAAAACCCTATAATGGTCACACTGTTTGTATCAAGGTTATTAAGGAAAGCTTTTACATCCAGAAAAAAATTAAGAGTTCTGATAGAGCAAATACCCTTCTTTTGTTTTGTGGGTATGGTTTTGTTTTCATTATTAGTTTTGGTTTAGACAGATATTTGCATTGAAGGTGGATAGACCTGTGCAACGAAGCGCTCAGTGCTTTCTTTGATTTGAATGGTCAGTAGTAATTTGATAAGATGCCCAGGTTTTCTTTTTTCTTTTCAAAATTCATAAGCACTAAATTAAAGGACGGAGATTAAGAGAAATGAATCAGGGAATATGATCTTGATTATGCACCCAGGTTTTCACAGTAACATATACATTCTCTCTCTCACTTTAATCTGCTTGCCTGGAATGATTAAGGGCATGTCCCAGCCAAGTGCTTAGCCACTTTTTATGTGTTGAACTTTAAGCACAAATGATAGACAGACAAGTCGTGTGCCAGAGGGTAGTGTGCCATGCTTCCTCACCAGAGCAACCGTCTGGGAACAGAATTCTACTTCCTCAGTTCTGAAAGTTCAAGTAAAAGAAATGCCAAATTAAACATCAAATGGTTCCTCTATAGGTTTTCCTAGTTTAAAAAAAAATTAGCAGAGATCCTGACTGAACTATACTTAGAAGTATTCAAATTCCATAAGAATTGCATGACCATAAACCTCTGGAGTGGACTGGTATATTTCAAAGGCAGCTGTGAAATGCCCAGCCTAGTAGTCAGAGAGGCCACCAGAGGCCTTAGAAAATAAAATATACGTGAATAGAATCAAAGTTTATTATCATAAAATTTATTGCATAGTCGGGACACGAACCAGGACTCTAGATAGAATTTTGCAAGCTTGGAACCAGAATGCAATTCTAATGCGACAAGATGTTCAATATTTGAACCAAAGCATGGCGACTGCACTACAAATTTGTCTGTCAGCTTTGCAAGCTTTTACTTAAACAGGAGCTCAAACCTCTTCACAAGATCAGAAACCTGGCTGGTGGGCCATAGAATCAGAAATATAAAGAGGATTCCAGTGCTCTCCGTTTAAGATGCCAGCTAACAATTAAACTATCTGAGGATGGGAACAAATAGGAAGTCTCCCAAATGTTAATTCTCACATGATAGCTATTAAACCTGGAGTAGAAAAATGTCAAAACGCCAGTATAACATTTCTTTGATTCTTGGATGTCTTTTTTCCAGCTTAGGAAGCCGATTCAGATTCATCTCCGTATATATATATATATATATATATATATATATATATATATATATATATATATATATATATATATATATATATATATATATATACATGAGTGATACCTTCATCCAACGGTGCAACTGCACTATACAATTGATAGCCAGAACATTGCCCAATTGTGGCTTTATAGAAACAAAACAAGGAGTGGTTTCTTTCCTGTATTGCGAAGGAAGACACAAAGGAGGAATGGTAATTAAGACTATGGAAGCTGTTGATAGAAAAGTACATTGAAAGAATTGTACAGGTTTCCTGATGTTTATCTAGCTGCTTTTTTTTTTTTTTTTCACGTCAGACCATTTGTTCCTGGAGCACAACAGGGCTGGGCTGTGATTTTTATGAAAGGCATTTAAATAAACATGTCTTTCACCTGTCCATTTCTTCCCCATGCACATGCCTTTGCAGTCTTTCAGAGACTTACCCAAAGGCGATCCTATCACAGAGTTTTCTGCCAAGATTTTTTAGAAGGGGTTGAGAGAGTGCAACTTGCCCAAAGTCAGCCACTGAATTTCCATGGCTAAGCAAGAATTTGAATCTTGGTCTTCCAGAGGCTTAGTCCAACAATCAAATCACGACAGCACACTGGCTCATTTGTCTCTTAAGGAAGCCGTATTACTTGAGAGAAGTCTTTACTTGGTTTCACAGACATTGATAATTTGCCAGAAAGCCAAATCTGATGGTCTGTGTTCTGTCATGATGCCATCCCAATTGATTGGGATTGTTGCAGGGAGGAGAAAGAAAACCTAACAGGGACAGAAAAAAGGAACCAAAGCAGCAACAGATAAAGGAAGCTGTTGCAGTGTTTACCTTTGAAAAAGGTGGATGTTCTCATCAATTAAAGTTTCAGGAAATACTTGGATGCACACGCCCAAAGGTACTACTTCAAACCTGCAAATCAAAATGAGGTTTTGATGCATATGTTATGCTATTGCCATGGCTTCTGCTTAAACCAATATGTGAGCTGTCACGTGCAATGATTCTGAAGTGAAGGAAAAAGTGCATCATATATAAGCTCCTTCAATCTTAGATAACACCCTGAAACAGTACAGTTATCCAAGATCGGCCAAGAATCTGTTCCAACAGCAGGCCTGGAAATAAAGGCATAAAACCTTTCCATAAAGAATACAGCCATCCCTTCTGGATAAATAAACATCTGGAATAATATGGGGAAAGCCAGCCTCCAAAGTAAAATGAGGTTAAAAGAGGACCTGCATAGCAATGAATTAATCATTGGAACACTTGCATGGATACAGTGAAGGTCCATTGCCAGGGAGATGTTGCTATGAACACTGCTGGATTATTGTACACATTTTGGGGGATTTCCAAAAGATGAGCATTTAATTACATCAAGTTTAAAAACATGCATTAGTAACATAAGTACTTTTCAGAATGCTTCTTTAACCGCATCAGAGGGAGCATGCGGTGGGCCATATTTATCACAAGCTCCTCAGCTTTGCTCACTTTTCACAAAATGTTGCCATATTTCGAGATGGTGAATAGCAAGAGGGAATTTAAAAGATCTGTTGAGCTCTTACTTCCTTGAAAAGGAGTGATTTGTTTGCTAGAATAACTTCATCCATTGCAGTGGCATGATTTCCGTTTTCAAAAGTCTCCAGTCCCTTTTCATGGGCACCCCATCCTGACTGGCTGCAACCACCATTGCACACACTTGGCATGACTTCTGTCCTTTGTTGTATCAGCCTCATTACCAATGTTGATAACATTTGTGCCTTGTGTACCAAGACCTCCAGGATTGTATACTGCGCTGCCAGCATCTCTTCCTTTACATTGAACAAGTCTTGCCAACAAAGAGCTTGCTCCAGCCACCGGCGTTTACAGTCATTCATTGGACTCAGATGCCTAGCAGCTGTTATCTGTTCAATGTACAATCATCTTCATCTTTCATCCAAAGAGAATACAACTGCTCCAAAAGGCCATTTCCTCTTGGAATATCTTGACCCGAATATGATAGTTGGGGAGGTAGCTCAGAGAAGGTCTGAAACCAAGGCCAGTTTACAATTGGGACATACTCTTGAATGCAACATTGCTCCCAGAAGGCCATGTGGCTGGTGTACAAGCTGGTGAACCAAGTTTGTTTTCCATAATAATAATAATAATAATAATAATGCACCCAGGTTTTTCATGAAGAGCAGATTTTCATGAAGAGCAGATAAATAATAAAATTTATTTATATATCCCACCTCTCCCGGCGGATCGAGGTGGGAGTACAAAGATAAAAGAGGAACAATACAACAATGTTAAAACATAGCAATAAATCATAACAAATTAAAAATGATAAAAATAAAATTCATACAATTGAATTATTAAAATTACAATAAAATTATAAATTATTAAGATTACAATAAAATTGAAATTCCAGTCTGTGCCGTATAGGTGGTGATGGTCTTCCTTCACCCAGGAGGTCTTAGGACATATTTTTAATTATGCCAGAGAATAGGACATGAACCAGTGGATTCAAATTATGAAAAAGGAGAAAAAGTAATGACTAGTACATCTGTAAATTTCTGAACTGGTAGAGGGCTGGACTAAATCACCTATGGGGTACTTCCATCTCTATGGGTAAAATGTGATGTCCAGAACATTGTTTTTTGTACTGGAATTGTATTTGAATGCTGCTGTTTTAATCATTTAATAATGCTATATGTAATGACTGTTCTCAGTTGTTGTTTTTCTAAACCATCCTAAGAAAGGGTTTTTTACCTTTATAAATGAAACTGAAATATTTTAAATAAATATAAATATTAGTCACATCAAATTACTCTGTGAATCATATGCGAAGACTGTGCCAGATGAGAAAAAGTAATAGAATGTGCTCAAGTGCTTGGTGAAAGAGTACATAATTATGGCTGGGTGTTTAAACTATTAAAGTTATTTATTGCTCATTGTAAGGAAAAATGCATTTTCATAGAGATAACCTCAGTGGCAATGGGTGTGTAGCTTATGCATTAGGGCTGGGTGGTATTTTTGATAATGTAACACTCCACATTGGGACTCTGGAATCTGAGCTGGCTCATGACAATGCCTTCTTTGTCTTTTGTGTTTCCCATCTCATCTTTCACTCCTTGCGCAGGACCCCACCTCTTGCATCCCTGCGGTTAAAATAACTTTCATCTGAGAGTGCCGATTTGCTGTCCACTTCTGGTCGACTATAAACCAGGCATTTTAATCCAGTGGGGTAGAGACTTGTGTTAGGAATGTGCATGCCAGAGACACTCTGACTGCAAACTTTAGGCCTCTTGTTTGTTTGGCAAACCACATGCAACCCTCACACCCTCCAGGACAAGACCCATTTCCACATGTATGCATGAGGCTTACAACTTTTCCTGATGCATAATGCATTTGTTGTTCGTTTCATTTAATAGTCCACTTGATCTCAGGGTCTTGAGTGCATAACAACAGTATAAACGGCGAGGCCCTGTTCTTAAAAGAGCTGTGGTATAATAAAAGAAGGGCAACTGAGCAAAGCCAGTCTGTTGCTGGCATTTTCAGTGGCCTGAAAGCATGTGAGCAATTCTCACCTGTTAGGGTTAGCCACTGAATGCCAGAGGACCATGTGAGAAA